CTTAATGAAGCTTGGTATATTAATTTCAATATAAATCTCATTAAATCACATTCACATTCAAAGTATTGAAAAATCTCCTTATACTTGATTACATTAACAACTTTCCTCCAATTTGACTTATCGATATTTGATTATAACTTTTTTTCTTAATCTAAATTTAAATTGAATCATTTGGCAAATGAAAATCATGATGTAATTATTTAAATATTTTGAATGCCTACTAAATTCGACAACCCCTAATTGTAGTAGGTTGAGTAGGTCTGGATCATGTCGAAATGGTAGTTATGGTTTTTGATTTTTTTCTTAAGTTCGGAGGATTTATTTAGAATCTTATAAATTTAGCTCTGTTATACTTAAAGTTACGTAGCTATTATGAGCGATGAAATTTAAGGGAATTAGAAAGCGAAAAAGGGAAGAGAGTCAAGTTTTATGAGGAGAGCAGGCCTTCTTTTCCCAACCCCGCCGAATAAAGTAATTGAGGAGAAACGATGTTGATTATTGTTTTTTATTTGAGTTTCATAAGAAAATTATCACTATAATTCGTTGGCTATTATGATTCTAATTTTAGTAAGGAGGCAGTATTTGAACGAGATTGGTAAAAAATAAATGGTTAATTATAAATTTTAGAACTAAATTAAAAAAATATACCATAGTCTTAAATTTTTTCATAATGTCCACAAAAATAATCCTTCTTATTTTCAGAATGATTCCCATTAATATTATCATAATATACTAAATTTGTATCCATTAAACTATAAAATTAAAGCTGGTTTTTGGCTGCGGGATATTAGTTGAATTCGAATAGAGTTAATTTAATAATATAGATTTGCTTCTTAACATACAAGTAATGTTAGTGCCATGTTATGCTGAAGTTAAAAATATTATCAAAGTCTTAATTTAGAGTTATTTATTCGCCGAGGAGATTTTCTATACTTCACTAACTTATTAAAATAAACCTAGGAGAGCTTATTAAACTTCCTTTTTTCGCTTACTAACATTTGCTCGTTTCAACCTGATCTTGAATAATACTAAGAAAAAGATAAAAATGTATTTATCTCAATTGATCAAATTATGCAAAAATACTAATTGTTTTTAAGTTATCTGCAGCAACAAATTTTCAATAGTTTATTCAAGATTTCATATTATGAGGGCCTTAAGATTGATATTACTCTATTCAGATGAATATTAGATTCTAATTTGATTACTTTAAGCCAACTATTCAATGATGTACAGATTTTGTTTGATGTGGTAACTTATTCTCAAATTTTAAAACATTAGGGTAACAATGTGACTTGGCTTTTGTTTATTCATAATGGACATTTGAAGCTCAATTGTTTAAACAAAGTTTAATCTCCTTCCTTTAGTTTTAGTGTTAAGTTCCACTGCTGAGAGTACTTCTTTCACATCTTAGATACTAAGAATTCTAAAATAAAGGACTACTTAAGTATTGAGGTAAAAATCCTTTACTTCTTTGCTTGGAGAGTAGAGGAATTTGAAAAAGATTAAGTGTAATAGATTTTAATTTTTAAATAAAACCTTAATTGCTTGATTTATTTGAAATTCAGATTTCAGCTGAATAACAAATATTGATTAAAAAATTAGAGACATAATTTTATTCCTTTGATTTGTTATGATTAAACTAAAATTTCTGAACTCCTTGTTTCTACAATTTTTTTTTTATCATTAGTAAAAATAGGTCTATCTAAAGAATGAATATCAGATGAATCAGTTAACCTTATTCTTCTGAAAAATAAAAAAAAATACATTTTAAAAGTTACTAGGAGACCTTTAGAAAAAGAACCAAACGGTTGCCTTCAAGATTTATTAATCAAATAAGATCGATAAAATTTTCATTATACAAAATCTTTACTAGTCCTAAACTTTAGGTAAATAAATGAAAGTTGGAAAATTGTAAATTGTATATAATCTTAATCAGAAATACATCATAAACATTAAAATATCCCTCACTTATGTGATCTTCATATTGCTTTTTTACCTCACACTTCTTTTAACATACTTTTTATCTTATCAAAAATTAATTATTAGATCCATCAATAGCAATGTCAACTACTTTATCTGTAGATATTAAGAAGCAGGACAAATTGGATCGAAACCTACAACCCAACTCAACAGTATATGATTTATCCTGACTTCTTGTTATTATTCTTCTTGTGATAAATATTTTAGAGCTCACTTTATGTGCTTTTGGTTTCGCTGCGTGATACTGGTCTTAATTGGTGGTTTAGGCTGTAAGCTTAAGTGATGTTCTGATATTGGTAGAAAAATGTTAATCCTTTTTCATGAATTATATTCATTAGGAATATTGTGGATGTCCAGTTTATTCAGGTGTGATACTACTTGTATATAATATTCAATCTTATGATGGATCATATAAACAAAGGGGTACATGTTCTTGATATCCTCATTAAAAATATTTGTATTTCTTCTTAACCTTTTATAAAAATGATAAAATTAAAATTCTAATTCCAAATAACACATTTTTTGTTGATAATCCTGATTAAAAGATATTGCAATATTATTCCCAACTAATAGCAGTGCTGGCTTCTTTGAAACGATAACAATGTGAATCATTTGAACTCCAGTTGAAAAAATTTCTAAGGAACTTGTGTCTTGCTTAAACCTCATAATTGGAAATAATAGTTTTCAACAATATGTAAAACTTTTGTCTCTCCATATTGCAACCAACACTTACTGACTGACTGCACAAACTTTAACTCCTTTTTAATGGAGCCTCTAACTAATAGTTGTTTTATATAGAAACTGAAACGCTGTTTCAGCAATATGAAAGCAAATCACTTCTTGTTTTGGGATAAAATTGATATCACTGGTACATTATATGTTGATGTCTGTCACTGGATGCAATTTTAATAATGGAGATCCCATCATTGCAGTTCAGTCTCACATCAATCAAAAGCTCTTTTTCACTAAAACTTTTCCTTAATTAACAAAAGCAAGCGACCATAAATTGAATGACTAATGTGCTGATTGTTGTGATGCACTGGCAATTTTCTTCAAGTTCGACATTTAATGAAATAATGTCAGTTACATTTCTGTCCATTACAAATCAAATTTTTATTAAATGTGAGTATTTTGAAACTGAAAATTGTATCTCATAAAATGTTAAATATTAACTGATTATGAAGACTTGGCATTCATTCTTAATAAATGCTCTTGTGATGAGATCTGTTTTTATAGATATTGGAGAATAATTAACACTAAAACTGGTAAATTTGTATCCTGAAATAGCTAGATGAGGCGAGCCATACACACCACTACAAAAAATTCTTTATAAATTCTAATCCTAAAACAACAGAGGATCTCTCTCCAGTACTTGGAATCCTCTCAAAAAGTAAAAACTTACTGCTTGCATATTATTGTATGCTGACACTTTAGAATATTGTCATTAGAATAGCCTCCAGTCGCAAATGGTGTAGAAATTTTAAAGGACGATAGGCATACCTAGATTGAATCTAGCTAGTGACTTCTTCCATTTCTTAAAAGCTTCACAATTATTAGCAAACTTTTTCCCTTTAGATACAAGGATGATGAAACCAAAAAAAATTTGAAGGATTCATGCTTTCTAAAAAGTAACACATTCCAAACTTATTGTATTCATCTATGAATACCGTAGCGGAGAGTCTAATGAATTTAAAGGAAGTATAACAGAGTTACAGCCATCTAAAAGCTATGAAAAATTCAATGATGTAATAACCTTTATCGCCATTCAATAGATATGATGTAGTTTGGGAATGTCCCTAATTATATCTTATAATTTTACTTGATCAGTTTGGATTTTTTTATCAAAATCTAAAGTCCATTAGTCAGACGCTTTGGATTCTTAGTCGTGGAAATGTACAAATAAAGTTAGGATTTTAAAGTTGAAAGTCTTTCATAAGGGTTTTTTAAATTTTGACTAATGATAGAATTTGAAAAATTAATTTTTATATTTGCAAATATTGTTCATCTCCTTTATTAAAGTAGAACTGCATAATTTTTAGACATTAAGAACAAAAATGAGAGAAAAGGAATTTATATTAATATCGGTTTCATATTTATTATTTGCTGCCAACTAAACAATCTTCATATTCATCTTTAAATTTACGTGTTAATTTAAAAAAGAAGGTTCATTTCGTATTCTATAATAATAGCTCGAATATTTGGAATAATATATTCAATAATTAGCTTCACAGTTCTAATTAGTTGCTTAATACTAAATAAGTTTTATTAAATTTTATTATTATAGCTGATTGTATTAATTTCGATTTAAGTATATAATTGTAAATTTACTTGATTAGTTTTTAATCAACGAATATCTGGATTCCTCAAAATCATAAATTAAATTGCAACAGCAAACAATTAATGCAAATCAACAACATTTCATTAAAATTCAATTGCTGAATCTGAGTTACCGGAAGTTAGAATTTCTGCAATTCATGCAATTAAAAAAAATGTATTCAAAACTTTAATAATGTATTTATATAAAGTTCATTTGCATTATTTTATATAAATTAATCTTTATTAGAAAATACCTTATTAATAGATATTAATATAATTAAAATTTTTATATGTTATAATAAAAAATAAGTTAAGATCTTTAAGAGACTACATGTAAAAGCCACAATTTGGAATTTATTGCTGTTGATTTGGATATGTCAAATAGATCAGAGATTATGTTTTTTTGTGGTAAATGTTTAGTTGATAAACTAAATAATAATAAAGTGACGACCATTGAGTAATCGAAAGAACGAATCTAATAAATGAAGACTTAATAATAAGAAATAAAGTTTAAAGAGAATCAAGCAAGACTAAATTATTTTAAGAGTATTTTAGATTAAATAATGGATTTTAAACGATCTATAGATGATTCTTTAGAAAAGATGTATAAGCAAATATAATAGTATACATTCTCAATCTAAAAGGAAAAATAAGAATTACAAGAAGTTTAATATCGATTGAATTATTTTGAGGATATAAAATAATTATCAGAATTCTCTTCTTTAGATATGTAGAAATCAACTATATTAATTGAAGATAACGCTTTTATCTAAGAGTTAACAAGATAATTTGAATTGCTATTTAATAATGCTGAATATTTTTAGACCTTAAGATACATTCAAAAATACAAAATAAATAATCCAAGATTTAATTGATAATAATGTTATTGAGTTATAACCATTATTATAGACAAAAAATGAATCGGTAATTTTAATTATTTCTTTCTAGAAAACACCAAGTTTAAGTAGAGTTTGCTTGAATCATAAAAAGGAAATTATTATGATTGATATGGATTCTTAAAATAAGAAAATTGAAGATAGATTTGTTTGTGTTGATTGCATATTTGAAAACCCGTTAATTAAGTATTAAACAATTGAAAATGTTAATAAATTATGGATAGATTATAATTAGGAATCTGAAAATATATTTTCAAATTATAAAAAGGAAAGTAAAAATAAAAGAAATGATTTATTCAATCAAATTACTCAAATGAGAAGAAATTACAATTAGAAATTGAATGAAATTAGTGAAAAATTAATCTCTGAATAATTCTTATCAATTCATAAAAGCAAAGAAATTAATTAAATTAAGAGGATCTCAATATAAACTTTATAAAATGAATAATTATTAAATGATTTAACCTTATTAATTGAAAAAGAAAAAGTAAATTAAGGTTAAAAAATGTCAATTTTAAAAAATAAAGAGTCAATTTTTCAGTAAGAAATTGAAAATCATTTAGAATCATTAAAATAAATTGATTAATTAGATATTTAATAATCAATAGATATACTCAAATAAATACCACGTACTAATTGATATATATATTTTATTAGTTGAACGTAATGTAATTTTTCAATTATAAGAACATATTTCATAATTTTCTAATTGTGCATAGACTAAGGATTAAAATTAGATAAAATTTATAAAAGATATCCTGAAATTGATCGATTAGGCTAAAAAGTACTAATGCTAAATAAACTTATTTGATTAGACTATTAATTTGTTTTAAATGCACAATAATACAATAGATTAAATCTAATAACAAATTTTAAATTAAACTAAAGATTAGATTAATAACTAGTATTAGAATCTATCAACAATAATTAATGATTACATCAATACTTTTGATAATAAAAGTAAATAGATCAAGAAATATTGTAGTATTGAAAAATTGGAAGGAGATTTATTAAAGTTGACAGAAATCAATAAAAACTTAGAAAATGAAAGTAATGTTATAAATCAATACATAGAAACTAATCTATTAAACAAAATGTCCAAGTAATTAGTTGAAAAACAGTAGGAATATTAAAAAGTATTAGAGGAATAACAGACTAAGAGTATTTCTAATTTACTTATAAGATTAAAACCAAATTGATGAGTTGACTATCAAATTATAATCAAAGGAAAAAGAAAACTAAAATTTCAAAGAGTTATTTGATCAAAAAACTTAAGAAATACTAAACCTGAAGAAATAAAAAGAAGAGGATAAATTACAGCTTATTAAAAATTTAGAAGATAACAGTATTCATTTCTCTCATCATACATAGAAAAAAAATAAGTCGAAGAAATGGCTGAAATAATCAATCAAAAGGAATCAGAGTTCCAAAATGTATAACGACAACTTGATTAGATTAATTAAGAAAATGTATAAAAAGAAATATAATTAAAATTAGAATTAGAAAAAGTATTCTGTTACAATTTAATCATAGATCAAACAATATCCTAAAATTTTAGTATTTTCTAATACATACAAGCATCCAAATTGTTAAGTGAGTGAAGGTGGAAAAGTTGTTGAGAATATTAGTAGTAGTTGGTTATATTGTCTTTGTGAATAAGCAATTCCAAAGAATGGGAAAACACTGTTTGCATTCTAAATGATCAGTGGAACTTACTTTAATGTTGGAATAGGATTCAGAGATATTATATAAAAAAATAATTATGACCTAGAAGTTGGTAATGGGTATTAAATTAAATCAAAATAGATAATATTTGATAACCCATAATGGTTATACTTTCTCTCATCATAACAAAAATGTTGATAACAAATAATTATCATTCACTTTTACAACTAACGATGTAATAATAATTGAAGTAAGTATTGAACATAAATATATCAAATGGACGAGATAGAATAATTCATTAGCAACCGTTGTAACTATCAAACTATTATTAGATGCTAGAAATAGATACATCCTTATCATAAGAATTATATTCATGTGTTTACTTTTATTAGTCCAAAATTAAAATATTGGATAATATTCCAAATTGAATGTAGAAAATTATAAAAAATAATATCATTTATATGTCAATTTTATTTATTTAAATATCATTCAAAGCATTAAATGCAAAACTAAGAAATGAATCAGTCCTATTATATGGTATTAAGAAAAAAGATAAAGGTCAAAATGAGAACAACTAATTTAGTATTCAGGGATAACAGAAATAAAATGATCCTTGCATAATGTGGAATATCTGGTTCTCTTAGGCAGTAAAAATTAAATCGGAAATAAAACCATTATGAGACCTAAGATGGAAGCAGCTGCTCTTAATTTCCAATCTGCTCGGATACCTAGGATAATGATGATGCTGGAACTTTAAGTTAAGCCGAATAAATACTAACCATTTCTAGACATGGAAAGATGTCTTTCGACACTATTGCAAATCAAGTGTAGACCTTACTTTGAAAGTTGTCGTTCACAAACAATGATAATTGTACATATAAATAATAATATTAATATTAAAATTTCATTTAATTTACAATAATATACTTCTTTTTAACATATATAATATTATTAACCTCATGTGCCTCTTTTTTGACTCATCATATAACACATTGGAAACTGTCTACTTAAAGAATGGGAGCAGATATAAAGAAAATTCATAGGAAAGGAAAATCACTAGTTTACACATAGCTAACAGGATGAATGCAAGTTGATGAACAGCCTCTTCCAGTTTAGGCTTCACTAAAAAATTGGTTGCATTTCCAATCATTTTTTTCAAAGCAGAGTTTACTTTTATAAATGACATGAGGAGTCTTTATTAACGCTGCGTTATTTTTACATTAGCTTCAGAGATTTTGTCACCAATATGCACCATCGCATTCTTCTTCTGATCTACAGGCGCATGTGATGCGTCAAATAGTTATTCCTATATCTAGTAATTAAGAGATACACAAAAATGGCAGATTTAAGTTCTCCTTAAGTATTATAGAAAATTCTTCATATTATAAAGCAAAAAGATAGAAAATATAATTCTGCAAGAATTGCTAGCAGTTTTACTCTTTAAAGAAAAGCCTCGACTTTGCAAAATTTGTTCAATCTTTTGCTCCTACAGGCATCAGTAAGTATTGTCTATTTATCAAGGTATTTCTTAAGCAGCAAGTTATATTATGCGGAATCAGAGTACTATTCAGGTAGAGAATTTGCAACCTATCTATTAATAGTGCAGCTCATAGCTGAGTTGTGTTGTATAATTTTATAATGGTCATACTTTGACCATTAATTGTCTTCATAGCTTTTAAGATGTAGTTTATTATTTAGGGAAATGAAGAAAAGCTGATCCATTTATTTGGAAACCATATTAATTAACAGCACTAGTAAATTTTTTCAAGGATGATCTCATTAGGTCTGCAAGTCCAACATTATGATTATCAGAACTGCCATCACTGCGATGCGCCCACGCTAGGCTATCAAAACAGTTTCGAGGTTTTTAAGAACATTCTGAATAGTCATGACAAACTTTTCATCTCCATCTTGTAAACTCCAGCATCTCCTTCACAAATTATGAATGAAAGAGATGATAAATAAGAGTCTGAAATTCATAGAACATCCTGATTATTAAGAAGAGCGATAAATATAATGGTCTAAAATGGATGAACGCTCCACTCCAATTTAGTAATGAGTACATAATAGTATAATAATTGGCTTTCTTACTCCTTTCTAAGAGAGTTTAGGTATTAAAGTTGACAGAAATGAACTATCAAAAAATTTTTTGGTTTAATTTATGCTTCGTACATCTGCAGACGCATAAAATATGCATGATCTTAATACTACTTGATCTAATAGCACATTGAAAGCTGTTAAATAAAGCCAAATTTTAGGTTATTGTTTAAGTACAGGCAAATTTGAAGGAGGATTATCTACTTTCACATTATAAAATTATTTCGCGATAATAAAAACAGCACTGATACATACTACTAGGATAAAACTCGTAATGTATTGGCAAGCGCTCAAAGCACTAACACTAATTAACTAAAGACTTCAACTATGTGATACATCAAGATCAAGATATATATTGACTTCAAAATTCTCTCTGTGAAGATAAACAGTAGAAAATGAAAAATTAATCTTATCCAGTATTTGAACATCACTTGCAAGATGAGATGCTAAAAGATTCAATTATTACACATACATTGAGAGAAAGTAAAATCGTCCTTAGATCAAGATTACTAAAATTATAGGTCATCCATCTGCATGATATTGCCAAGATTTACAGGTTGAGGGAGGATGCGGATTATTCAATTGCATGAAAAACTAGAATCCGTAAGTGCGGCACTTTATATCATTAGAATCTATGATAATATTGCATGTAGCACGCAAAAGGAACAAACTTATCATCAAAAGTAAAAAATGAGTGCCAAAAAGCATTGAATATGCATTGAATGCTATACAGCACACAGTTAGTATGAGAAAGGTTGATATATAAGACAATCTACAATTCAAGAAATTACCCATTATGACCATTTGAATAATAAACGGATGGACAAGATAAACAAGAGTTAGCGGTACAATTTCAGTGTTAGTGGATGTGGTGATGATGATGATCATTAAATAAGAACATTTGCAAAGGATTTAAACTAGTATTTATTCAAGATACTAGTTTCAACTTCTTGTCAATCATAATTATCGAACCGATGAATGTGAAGGCTATTATAAAAGATGTAAATAATTGTACATAACTTTGATCATTGTGTGATATGCACTGTTTAGAAAAATTACAGCTGTCTAAGTAATTATCTCTAATAGACCATATAACTCTGATGCCACAAGTAGTTGTAAGTATTTTGCTAAGCTCTCTAAAATTTGTAAATCATCAGCTGAGTTTATGAATCTTCTTTATTAATGCTAGTAATCAATTTAAGCATTTCGGCTATTAGTCAGCTGTTCTGGAGAGACATGAGCTATTTTTCAAACTTAATTTATTACTAAATAGCTCTTGTTTCCAGTATCAATTATCCTGTACCATTTGCTTCATGCTTCTGCTAAAAACTATCATGATAGTACAACATGTACTTATGATAGTTTTGTACAAGATTTTGATTAAGATTTAGTATAAGTTGAGTCTTAAATTGCATCACTGACTTTACTCTGATAAATATATATTAAATTAAAATATGCAAAAACTTTTACATATCCATGTTTTCTTTTTCATGCAAAATAGCAACTCAAGTTCCAAATTTATCATAATATTACTTCAAAGTAAAGGTAAAGGATAAGGCTTACAAGTATTGGCAGAACAAGAACAATATACAGGTATCATAAATCCTTTATATATAAGCGACAGTAGCATTTCAATTTTTTAGGATAGTTAAGCAAAGACATACCGATATTTATTGTAAGGACATAATATGACTGAAAAATATAGGATTGCAATCTCTGTTATAACTATTGTACATTCCAAAGCAAAAAACAAAACTTAAAGTTGAGAATGAGGTAATTATTTTTTCTAACTGACTTAAATCGAATAAATTCACTAAAATTCGTGTTTCACATTAAAAATAAATTCATAATTGTTATTATGTAAACTTGAAATTGCTTATTTGACAATGCCACGAATATTAATTTCTCTTCTCATGCATAAGATATTTGTATGTTACTTAGCAGGTAGTATGAACACTTTCTTAACTTAATATATGAATTAATTTAATGTATAAATTAGATAACCTGTTTAACTTTATAAATTGTATTAGGTTGATTATTAATTGTTAGCAATGTTCGAAAATCTTTTATAATTCTTCACAATCATCATCTGTTATTTGTCTTAGGTGTACAACTTCTAACAATGCTTGCAGGTGGCGATTCAATATATTTTCGCTTATTTTAGTAGAGTTTAAATGTAATAAAGGGACGACAATTGCATACTAAAATTTTTTATATTGGGCAGCTGCATCACACATAGTTTAAAATATTTCTCTTTATACACATGAATTTCAAGAATTTTTCACCATTAGGTTTTGTATATTGAAGCCGAAAATTTACACCCACCTAACAGAAATGAAAAATTATTTATGATTTTATCAGCCTTGATCATATATTACTGCTACTACAATTAATTTATGTTTTGAGGCACTATTCAACTTTTGCTCAACTTTGTACTGATACTTAGATAGAATCAATGTTTGTACTTTTAAAGAATTTGATTTTCATTGTGCATCATCTTCCTCTTCAACACATCCTAGCATTACTTTCTTTTTCAACGCTTGCCTTGATGTGCCCTTTATGGTCCTATTTTAAAATACTTAATAAACCAACTTTGAGCAGTTGTTAGATTATTTATGAACTGTTATTGTACTACAACAATGAATTATTCCATTAAGTTTGATGTGGTGAATGATCAATTTTTCTTGTGTTTACTTCATTTTATACAATAATATTTGAATCACCAATTAAGATTCTACTTATACTACCCTCATGGATCTTTCTTTGTATTCCTCTAAGAAAGAACTTTAAACTACTTCTTTTATGCTATCACAATTGATTCATACTGTTGTTACAAATGTTTATGGTATTCACAATTAATTATATTAATACCTAAATAAGGTTAATGCGTAATTTAGTTGTTCTAGTATATGCATACATATATTAATTCTTAATGGGACGACTTAGGATTAATTCACCTTCTTATAGGCATCTTTTATTTCAGAGACCGACAGCCTATCTTACCACAAATTATTGCTAGAATAAGACTACTGAATGATGCTCACCAAACGCACTTGCAGATAGATGCCTCCAGTCACCGTAATTACTTGAATAATTCTTGAAACAAGTGATTTAGATGTTATTTAAATATTAAACCATCCCTAAATAAAGTCTGATATTGGATCCTAAAGATTTTTCTTCTTTTCCTGTATTAGCAGGCATTTCACTTGACTCTTTTTCAAAAAATATACATCAGTACTTGTTTATATTTGTAAATTACGATGTATATCCTCCTTTTCATTAAATAAAAATCATCTGTTTCAAATGACGCACTATTTGTCACATTGTATAAAAATGCTTCTTGTTTTAATGAGTCCCATCTCTTTAATGATAGATGCCTTCACTCT